ACTATATCACATGCTCACAGACAATTTAATACTTGTTTTCATGGATAACATTTAGTGCTTAATCAAAGGTAACGAGACCCACACATTACTGTCATCTAGCACTCCATAAAAAACAAGCCCCCCACAAACATGCTTGCACAAAGTCACTTCAGTGACTTACGGCATTCTGCAAAAGTACAGGTGGTTTGTTAAATTTCCAATTCTGAATTTTTGCAACAAACAAAGCCCTGGCAAATATAAATACACCTACGTATGTCCGTAACTAGAGATGCTTTTTGCATTTATGATACATGAAATTTTGTACAGAACAGTCATGGCCTTATTGGGGCAACTGTTCATTTGAAGTAATGAGATCAGCGTCAGCCTAATTAGGGCATTGATCCTCAATGCACAGCATAAGAAAAATGTCTCAAGGGTGAGATCCACACCATCACTCCTTACACAAGAATTTAAGACATTAACAACTACAGAGGCAGCATGGGCAGTACAGCAGGATGTTGCCACCAGCATCGTAATACCTGCCCAACATCAAAGGCACACTGATCACCTCTACACTGGGCATTTCAGGAACGGATCCAACACAAGAGCAGCTACTGAATTCCTCAGTGGTTATTAGAAAAACATTTATTTTAAAAGAGCCCAGATAAATGGGGGTACGGAAGAAGGCTGACCAATGATTATTCAGGAGCTTGTACAAAAACAGGGTTGCTTTTGAAGATTGTGCTGGGAGTCCAAACATTCTCTTGATAAGAGATAAGCTTTGGAAAGGCCTCTCCTATGAAGACTCATAGCTTATGCCTACTGATTGTCCTCACTTTGTTTTAAGAACTACAGATTACATTCACAGCAACACAAAGGGTCAGCACAAGGTACAGACACTGCTTATACAGTCTCAACAGAAAAAATACTTCCCCCACATCCTAACCACATTTACATGTGAGTCAACACAGAAACATGGATCACATTTACTTCAAAGTTTCAGATACTTATTTCTCCTATTCTTACCCACAATGAGTTGCAAAGGTAGACTATGAAAGTATCACCTCCTAACTCCAGTTCCTCAACAGACAAACACACCTCAAACACATAAGCAGTTGTATCCAGGCAGGAGAGTTTCATATCCCCTCAGCAGACTTAGTAACATGAGCAAGTCCATTTCTCTATGCAAGTTGAAATCCTTCATTTATATAGGAAAGTAGTGTGGATTTTATCAATTTTTTTCCCCTGTATTTATCCATCCCCTCTGATAGGAAAAGCTACAGCTATTCAGAAGACACTAGTGAAATACTGCTGCTGGTCACCTTTTACCTCCCCTGGTAGAGAGCTTGTGAAAGTTACACAGTAAATCCACCACACAGCCAACACTGGAACCACAACCTGTCACTTCCCCAGGCTCCAGCTTTCAACACAAAATAGTACTTTTCATACCACTTTATTTGCCTTCTTGCCCATGCTCACGTTTTCCTCACAACACCTTTTAAAAGGCCACATATGGAGGGCAGAGAGGGAATGGGCACATCCCACAAGGACCTTCAGCAGAAGCAGATGATGCAATAGGTATAAATGCTCCTGTACAACCCAGGATGTATGTGCTGATCTAATGCACTCTGCTTTCCCTTCCTTTCTCCATTCCTCAGGAAATGTAAGTCAAGTATTCAGCAACTTGGATGGGTCTGTACCATAAACTGCAAGTTACAGCTTTAGCACTGAGTGGGCGGTATTACGTGCATTTGTGAGGACACAAACAAACGTCTTTCCTATTGTTCTTATCCAAGAAGGAATTAAAGGCATTGATAGATGCTGCAAAGACATCAATCAGAAGGTAAAAATTATCAGCACTGAGAAAAGGGTAACTTTCTTTCCTTGCTCCCATATAAAGACCTCTTTATAGTTTCTGGAATTGTGATTTACATTTTAGCAATTTTGGGCAGTGCTTTTAAGCCTTTTCCTAGGAGTCTAATTCCTGACTTGTGCGGCTTTGTTGTTTCGTTTATTGAAATAAAACCAGAAAGCTCAACTACAGAATAATGTAAGATTCTTGCTGCCACAAATTCTAAGAAAAAAAATTGTGGAAAGTAGCAGAGATAGGGCACAAGTCACTGAGTTGAGAAATACACCACGGTTACAGCACCGCTAACCAGCAACTTCAAGTGCAACTTCCACCACTGAGCTGCGGGCTCAACAAATTTTCTACTGTCCCCAAAAGCCCAGTATGATTACTTCTAACACGGGGCCTCTCTCTGAGCAGAGCTGCAGGGCCCCTACTGGAGACAACCATGTTCTGCTTGGAGGGTCTGAGCCCTGCTGCCCACACTGCCACTGACATAACAGGTACATGGCACAGACCGCATCCTTTGTGCTTCCAAGTCACACGGTATGAGCCAACAGCACCGACCTTCTCCATAAGGGTATCCAAAAACTTCCACTACAAATCACAAGATATTGTTAACCGTGCTGGAAACAAAAAGTGCCATTCACCTGATTACAGCTCCAAGTGAGCTGTTAGGTTTTTATATCTTCTGTGACACAAGACAGTCTCCTTTAGCTAAGCCATTTGCATATTTTTAATTAATATGAAACAACATTAGTATGCTCTTTGAATATTAAGGAAGCATTAAACACAAAAAGACTCACAAGGCCTGTTTTAATGTCTAAGTATTGATTTAATTTGTCTATATGCTATCATATGATACTGAAGAGTATGAAGTAGCTGAATTTCTCCTTTATGAAAATCACATCCCAAAACTGGAAATGACAATGCAAACAAAAGATGTAGCCCCACCAAGACAGAGATACACAGGATATTAATACTTATTCCTTAAATATTGTTTAATGGTTCTTTCTGTAGAAAATAGTTTAACTGAAGAATGAAGCTTCCAGATTTATTATTTAAAGAAAACCAACTCCTGCCCTAACGATCTAACACCCAATACTTAAAAAATAAAATCTTATAGCTGAGATGTGGATGGCATGGTTCCAAAAAATATGATGCCAGCTACAGTGAAAGGCTCAGATGCACCTACACAGGAAACAACCAAATGCCAGGTAAAAATCTAAATAAACATGGTGACTGCTTTACCCACATATCAGCAGCTCTATTCTACATCAATTTTCACTCACCTCTGCCTCATGACGTTAGTGTTCAGAACTATTTTGTCACAATATGAATTAGGAATACTTTCAGCCTCCTCATTCTTCCTGACCATCAGTCCCCTAACAGCCTGATTTAATTTGAGAACTTCAGAGAATGAAAGTCTTTATCAGAGGCACCAATAATAAAGAGAGGTTTCATTCTGGACCCGATTCAAACTGTTGAAGCCAGAAGAAATCTCTCAACAAGTTTCAGTTGTCTTTGTTGTTTAGCAAAGATTATGACTCCAAAACAGCCAAGTGTGATGTAACTAATCAATGATCTTGTATTCTCAGCACTGAAAGCCAGGGCTAGTCAAAACCACCTTAAACATCCAGCAAGATCATTTAGAGAGAGTGTCTGAACTGACGGCATTTACTTTACTGGATGGCACGTGTGCAGATGTTAACAGTTCCTAAACATGCTGCTAAGAATCCAGAACATTTTTATAAATTTTGCACTCAACTAAGCATTAGATAGATACATTAACACCTGGATTTTCTACAACATCACTGAACAACTGCACATGCCCAGGTCCTTCTAAAAGCCTTGCTTTGAGCATTTCTCCTGCTTACTTTAAATATTTTTGAGATACTTTTACAAGGCTTAAATTCAAAATGAAACTTTTCTGTCTCCTTCTTGGGTGAAATGCAATATTTATGCACACACTCAGAGGCACAGGCATATAAAAAACATACAGTGAGACAGAATCACAGAATTAACCCCTGATCAACCACCTGGGACTTGAAGGGGGGAACCTCATAAATGATTCATGTGCAGTTGCAGTCTGCTTGCAGTCTGCTGCAGAATGCTTCTAGACCTTCCGAAGTGCAAAGCGGTATCTGCAGTAATAGTATTTTCCAAAATGCTCAAAAACACGGTAAGAAGAGGCGACTTACAATGTGTGGAGACACGGATAACTTGGAGACAGGGAGAGAAGCAGGACACAATTTACCTTTCACAAAGTAGATGCCACTTGAAATCATGTGCCAATTCTCCCCAGATATGTTTCTTTCCCTGTCTTTAAGAGCAGCTGTTAAGTCGAGTCATCCTTTTTCCACTAGATGAAAAAAATCTCCATTATTTGCAAACTGAACCAGCACGGACAAACCATTACATCCACCTGGATTCTACTGGGAAAATGTGACTGAAATTTAATTTTGTTGGTCCAATTAAAAGGAAATCTAATGAACATCAGAGGTTTTTCAGATGTTAATAAACAGTCCCATATGCAACTGAAATCAGTGTGCTTGTCTGCCTGTCTTTAGTCTTTTGCAAGTAAACCCTCTCTCAGTGACCTTTTTCTCTGACTCCTTCCCAGCCTAGAACTGGTTAATTGCCTTTCCCTGTTATTTACGCTACAGTAGAAACCTCAAGCCAGGTCAGCCCTTTTGCAAGAAGCAGAAAATTATTTCAGTGTAAAGCCCTTTGTGAAAGAATATAACACAACAGACAGAAGAGCAGAAGGTCAAAGCAGTGGCATAAGAAGTAAAAAGGCTTTAAGCTCAATTTGAAGAACAGACCACTAGCAGGACCATAACCCAGGATCTCCTGGTGGGCTCACTACGGCTGTTACACTGTTCTGCTCCGTTCTTAACACATATCTTACGTGCCTTTTCAGCAAATCCATTACAGCTATTCTGTTTTTCCCACATTACCGAAGAGAGTCTTTGCAGCATTTTCATCCTTGCCATAACATGCAGTTACTCTCATCCATTTCCATTTCTTCCTTCTCTGACCTTACCTTGGACTCTACCTCCTCTCTAGTTTGAGGCACTGGGGGAAAACAGGGGGAAAGCATGAAAACGAAGTGAGTCAGCAGTTTCTGAGCAGCACACAAGCATTAGTCAGAGTTGATCAGGGTACTCACCACAGTCAGATGTGAATGAGCTCAAGACCATCAAACAACAGACTGGTGAGCAAACTTTGCCAAGCACCTGCAAATGAATCACTGGGCAAGGCCACCCCAGAGATAAAGCACTTCAGGGAAAAAACACATTCTTAGCTGCCACATACTACATATTTGTTCCTGAAAGGCAACAAAGCACACAGGGTACTGTTCTGTCACATTTCTACTTCCTTTACAAAATGCCCACTGCATTCAGTACAGGTGAATCAAACACACCTGATGAGACAGTTGCCTTGACTAGTATTAGGTTTCCTCTAATAAGCAAAGCCCACAGTTGCAAAAGTTTTCCTGAGTAAAGTACATGCACAGTGCCCTACTATGCACTGTTGCCCTCCTACTCATCTGCTCCCTTATCAGGACACACCGACAGCAGCAGTAGTGATGCCATTACTTAGGAGTTAGGGAAGTGGCGTTCCACATCATGCAGTGGAAATCTGAATTCTTACAATTAATGACCAAATTACTAATACAAGTTCTAAGGGCCATAAGTGCTCATTTGCAACACAAGCATGGTACCTTGCTACTCTCAGCACAGCTGTGACAGTGTCTTCCTGCAGAAAGAGATTTGAAGGGGAATTGTTCCTAGTCTTCACCTTCCAGCAGTAAAATCAAGGGTACACACAAGAAAAAACAACCTACCCCTTCCAGCAGGGCAGAGTACAGCTGTAGGATTCTCATCCATCATCTGCAAGACAGCCCTTCTACAAAACTCCTCTCTGCTATGGTACAGTAAGTCCATTAAACTGTGAGTGATGTACAACCACCACTCCAGGAGAGCACACCTCACTCCAGGGAGATGAACACTGCTTCAGTGCCTCTGCATTCGGGCTGGACAGAACAAGACTTACCGTAAAAAAACACCTCCCCATCAAAATGACACCTACTGAGTTTCAAGAAACACAGTTAATTACTTCTGTTCTGTGACTCTGAGCAAGCGCTAACCTCTCTGTTCAGTTTCTCCACTTTGAAAATACATTACTTCCACCGTGTTGCGAGGCACTTAATCTGTTAATGTGCTTGCCAACAACACAACTTTACTTAAGAGCAACCTTTATCCATAAGCAGCTTGCAATATGTTTTCTCTTCTCTGCAGACTTCCCAATATACTCTTCCACATGTAACCTGATCCTGTCATCCATAAAACACAGTAAAAGTTTCATTTTTCGAAACAGCTTATTCAGACATTGTTAATGGAAAACATTAATAGGGAAGAGCAAAGATACACATAATATTTACACAAATTTCTGAATAAATACATGTTTTAATCTGTAGTATTTGGAAAACCACAGCATTGTATCAGCTACAAGCAGCTAGAGAAAGAAAATGACAGCAAACATTTAGAGCACATCAACTGATCCATGCAGTCAGTCTTTACACAGAAGTGGTCCTGGCATATATAAACAGACCTTTGTACATCTACAGCAATCTTACCCTTCACATGGGAAGTTAGAGAAAAAAAGGCTGCAAATTTCAGCTAAAGTTGTTTCACAACAGTTTCTCTACTCCAGCAATTTTTAATTCTTTTGCTACTCACTCTAGTGGGAAATCATTATCAGTACAAGTTGAGGCTACAATCGCCTGGGACAACATCCTGGGCTGGAGGCATCACTGTTTTTAAATAAATGCTTGGGGTTTTTTTGTTTGAGAGTTTCTGGCATCCTTCTACCTTCTTGTAAAGCATTTTCAGTTTTCACGTAGCAGCAAGGTTGCTCTCTCTTGCATGAGGTACATCATTCTTAGATGTTTGCACAGGGACGTAAAACACGGCTTTTAGGTATGTGTAACAAAGGTCCAAAAGTCTTGGTGCGGGACATTATTGAAACAGACTCTTTCGGGGGTTGACTTTTCAGGCACTCGAGTGTGTGCTCACTTGTTGAAATAAATGCTAAAACGCATTACTTGTTATTTAAATAACGTTCACCACACGGTTATCAGCCGACACACCTGAACTCAGCTCACGGCCATTATTTAATTCTGCTTAAATTTTTTTTACGAACAGACGCCGACAGGTGAAAGACAGAGCTCCTACAACCCGCGATCACATCACCAGGGAGACAAGACTGCCCCTCTCCCCGCCTCAGCTCACGGACTCCCGGCTACGACGGACGGAGCAGCCTCCACGACCGACCCGCGCCCGCGCCCGCCCGCTCCGGACCCCGCCGCGCCCGCTCGCTGTGGAGCGGCGCCTTCGGGGAGGCGGCAGCGAGCGGGCGACGGCACCAGCCCGTTCCCGGGGCAACCGCTCCGCCCGCCCCATCCCCGGCCACACGCCAG